AGTACAATCGGTCACTATGATGTGCACTGTGGCAGCCAGCTGGCTGGATTGGGGCCCCAATCAGCCCCCAAGCCCAAATCAGGGACCAGGTCAGCCAGCCAACCCTGAAGTCTCCTTTACCCCCACTGGCCTGATCAGCACCCATCATGGCCTGCCTGCCAGACCCCACCCACGCACCAATTCATGCACCAAGCCTCTAATAGGTTCATAAATGTACTCAACTCGAATACCTTCCCTCCCAACTTCTCCATAAAAAACCGTGAACTGAAAATATGCTTAAAGTAAAATACCACATTTTAAAACCTTAACACTCACTAAGCAGCAAACAATTCATTACAAAAATCTCCAAGTCCTAAAACCTGTGAATCAATATCTCTCCCTTAGCCCAGCCGGCAAGGCTCGGTGGTTGAGCATCCACCTAGGAACCAAGAAGTCTCGGCTGGATTCCTGGTCAGGGCGCATGCCCAGGTTTCTGGCTGATCCCCAGTAGGGGGCATGCAAGCAGCAGCAGATGGATGATGTTTCTCTATCATCCATGTTTCTATCTCTATCCCTCTCCCTTCCTCTCTCTAAAAGTCAATAAAAACACTTTTTAAAAGAAAGAAAAGATGTCTTTAAATCATGTGTCCTTTCCTCCCCACTGTTAAAAAACCACCAGAGCTGCTGCACTGACACCACCATTAAAATTAGCAGCTTGTGCAGTTGTCAGCTGTTACTAGACAGCAGTAATTCTCAAACTTTCTGGTCTTAGGGTGCTTTTATAACTTTTAAATTTTATAAGTTTTATGAGGACTTATAAAATTTAAAAGTAAAATTTAAATTTTTTTAAATTTTATGAGGACCCCAAAGACTATTTGTTTATATGGATTTTGTCTCCCAGTATTTACTGCATTGGAAATTTCTTTAATGTTGATGTTTACTCATTTAAGTAACAAGAAATCCATCACATGTTAACATAAATAACTTAAAAAAATACTGCTTTCCCAAACAAAAATTGTTAGAAGCATGGCACTGTTTTATATTTTTGCAAATCTCTTTAATTCTGGCTTAATCAGTGACAGCTGGATTCCCTATTTGCTTCTGCATTCAATCCCTTTCAATAAGCTGTTTTTGTAGACACATATGAAGAAAACCTGTCATCATACCATTATAACTGGAGATTATTTTTAGTAACCTTTCAAATAATTGTGGAAATTCTTCTTAGATACTACACCAAAACTCCACAAGAGCTTATCTCATTCATATTATAGTATGAAAGCTGAAGCCAGATCAATAAATCCTTTGTACTTCATTGCGTTAAAATCCATTTGTCTACCTTGCACTTTGAAAGTACCTTTTACCCACAAGTGATTTTTATTACACCATAATTGGTGATTTGGAAAATGTGGGCTCACTGAATTATACATAACTTCCAGATGCTGACACATTATTACACACTATCAAAACCTCTATACGGATTAATACCACCACTAATCACATCAGAAACATGTTTAATTGTTGAGAGGCTCTCAAGCATCACAACAGCCGAAAAAATCTTACCAAAATTTTAATTTTGGCTTGAAAGCTCAAATTTTATCATTGACCACAAATATTGTTATTTTCCTTAAAAAAGGCAGGCTCACTTCATTTTCAAGTAAATGCTAAACAAATATGGCTACCCACAGCTCATCACTTTTTCTTTTTTTCCCCAGGTAAAAACAGAGCTTCTTAAGAAAAGCACTAGTTTAGTGATTCACAAATCAAACAATCATACATGTGTCCTCAAAAAAAGCCATTTTAAATATAGCTTTATGTGTAATTCCCATTTTTTCACAGAATATTTAAAAGGCAAACTTAAGGGTAAAGACTTAATAAAACATTACTGATTCATCAAGGACTTTTTAAAAACTGTGTACATTGAAGAAATACAATGACTCTAGTACAATGCTAACTGCCTTGGTTCTTCCTAAGTCCTGAATAGTATTAGCCATCATTTCTCTTGCACCATTGGTACAAGTGTCAGAAGAGTATAAGAACATCTCTCAGCACTGTTATGAAAGGACTTTGGATTTTGTCTGCTTGAAAGGATCTCAGGAACTCCCACCCCCCACGGCTGCCACAGACCACTCTGTGTATCACTGCTACAAACAATATTAGTATCCACCAACATGTCCCCGTGCCAACTGTGATGACCACATGAAACTACCAATCCCTTTGGTGACAGCCCCACACATATCTGGGAGAAAAGCTATTGTATCCTCCAAGTTTCTTGCTAAATATCTCTTCCAGTAACTTTCACAACAGTCTATGAATGTAGCATAAATGCTAGGTCACTGGTACCGGTTACTCTCCTTAAAGTATTTAAGTGTGACCCCAGAACTGAGCTGATGCAAATAATGATCTGACCAGCACAGAAATCAGAATATAGTTTCCATCAGGGCATTATACTCTGTATTAATGCGTGGTTCTCAACAAAAAAGGTTTTGCCCCTGAATTCATATGGCAACACCTAGAGTCTTTTTTTTGGTTATCACTGCGAGGAAGATGGGAAGGTGGGGCTGCTGAAACCCCGCAAGTAGAGGGGCAGGAATGCTGTCAGACACTCTGAAGTAAACAGGACAGCCCCATGGAAGCGATCATACAGCCCAAACTATGAGAAACTCTATGGATGAACCCCACTGCCATCAAAATTGTTGGAAGCTTTCATCACCAGGGCTCTTAAATCATATGTACTTTTCAAAATTGTATATATGCAATAATGTATGATTTTTGGACAAAATATGGACTTGTACACAATGTTATGTAATGACCTAAACTTCAATAATTTATTTTGATTTGGTCCAGTCTGCCAGCTCACCAGTGGTCTATGCCTCAACCCTACCCACCCACCCAAATTTGACAGGACAGATATAGCAAAAATTAAAGTCACACCTAATATAACCTAGAAATCACAATTCAAAACTTCAAAGGAACAAAAATTGAAGACAGCTGACACCAGAACATGAAAAAACAAAGCAAATTAATGAGGGAAAAGAAAGGTCTACCTAACTAGGCAGACTTGGTTTTTCTGTTGTACAGGTAGGGTTAAAAATGAGAGGGATAGCTAATGAAAAACTTGCTATATTGTTCACATTTCAAGCACCACACTGGAAAGGCAATAACCCCGGAATAAATTTGCTGTCTTGACTCTGTCTCCCATCTTACACATTTGATCAAAGAATTTGAGGCACCTAGCTTTTCGAAGGAAATGTATACACCCCTCCTCAAAGAAAGTTTGGGAAAAGTAGGTATAAATGGACTTTTACTTTCTAGAAAGACAAATTATTACCTGAGCTATTTCCTCACGAAAGCATACATTTCCTATCACTGATCAATTTTCAAATACTGACATGATTATCAGAAAGAGAAGTCCCTTCTCAAGAGCAGCAACAAAATGTGAGCTAACACAAAGAAGGCACATGGCACCAGAGCGAACATTTGGGTTGAAAGTGCTGCTGAACTGAAGCCACAAAAACCTCTCTCAGACCTGGTTCTCCTGGTGCTTCTCACCGTTCTGGGGAAGGGGGCATCAATTAGGGACCTTGCAGATTCTAAGATCTAAGGTCTGTATATTTAATTAAAACTAACAAATATTCTCATTACAAAATATGTTGCTAAGCCTCTTAACAAAATGAGGGTATGGGGGAGAAAAGGAGTTTGCAATTCCTTTTTAAACTATTGTGTAAAAAAAGCAGACGTCTTTAAAGCCTGTGTCAAAGACAGAGCCTCACCTGTGAAGAGAGACATGCACACATATACACACACATGTATACACTCATATACAGGGTGAGGGGACAGATTTACAGTTATTTGTATGGAATACAATAATTAATAAATAATAATACAAGAATAAACCGCTTCTCATTACTCACAACTCGAAACCTACTTTTGCCCCACCCTATCTAAATGAAACTGTAAAACTATCACTGATAGGTGCAAAAAAGAAACTGTTTTTACTTAAAAAAAAAAAAAAAAAAAAAAAAAAGCCCTGACGTGCTGCAGTAGGTGTCTAGAAACCATCCTTCTGCATTTAAGTAAAAACTCGAGCGTCAATGACATGCTTCGTTTTGGCGCTACAAAGAAACCACACTCTAACTCTCGATTCTTCAAAACGGGAAGAAATGCGGTCTCACCCTTTAGGCCTCGACACGCCTGTTACAAACGCAGAAAACACGCTGCAGCCTCTCCATCCCCAACCACGGGGATGCTAAGACTGCACCTCCTCCTCTCGGCGAGGAGGGGGAAACTTTCTAAAAGTCTGAAACGCAGCCTCTGCCATCAGGAGGCACAAAGGGGCTGCCTTCGGTCCACAGCCGGGAGAAACACAAAGTGTCACGACGAGGCGGCGGGAGAAGGAAGCACGCGGCCCCGGGCGAACCCCCCACACCCCGGGGCGGCGCCGCGCAAGAGGCTGACGCGCGTTGGGGGCGCCCCGCTCCGGGCGGCGGCGGCGGCGGCGGGCGGCGGCGGAAGGGGCTCGCACAGCCGGGCCCCCCTCCACGCCGGGCTCGGAACTAGCCCTGGAGTCCAGCAACCTCCGAGGCGGGAAGGGGTTCGTGCTGGGCTCGGCGTGCGCTCCCGGAAACGCGGGGAGAGGGACGCGGCGGAGGGGGCCGGGACCGGGAGCCGCAAGGGCTCCGGAGGCGCGCAGAGCCGCGGCCAGCAGGGCCGCCTCCCTCCCCCGCCGCCGCCGCCGCCGCCGCCGGGGTTTTGCTCGGGGCCGGGGGCCGGGGCAGCGGGGCTAGGTCCCCGGCCCTCCCGGAAGGGGAAGGCCCCGGGCCGCCGGCGGCGAGGCCAGGAAGGGGTGGGGGGAGCGGGGGACCGGGCGCCGGGGGAAGTGCGGCAGCGAGTGGGTGAGGAAACAGGAAGAACCCCGGTCCCGCCGCCGACCTCCCCCGCGGGGCGAGGGCCCGGCTCGCGCGCCACCCTTCCCGCCGGCCCCCCCAGCACGCGAAAAGGAAACAGGGACACAAATGACTTACAACGGCATCGTCTCCTGCGCCGGCACCGCCCAGTCACTTCCCCCCCGCAACCGCCGCCGCTGCCGCCCTGGGCATGATCCACTGAGGCGGGAGGGAGGGGGGGGCCTGCCGCAGCCCAGGGTCCAACCCCGCTCCCGCACCCGCTCCCGCCGCTTTAAGCGCTTCTCCTCCTTCCCCCTCGTCCTAACATGGCGCCCGAGCGCTACCACAGCAACGTTCTAGAACCACTGACGCCGCCACGCACGCCGTGCGCGCGCCTGCGCAGAGGCCGCCCGGCGCCGCGAAGCCTCACGGGAAATGTAGTTCCCGGGGCGGCGGGCGGCTGAGCAATTTCCGCCGCAATCCCCACACGCCTCCGCGAGGAGCGCGGGGTGTGTCCGCGAGGCAGTGGCGCGGGAGGCTCCGGGGCGCGGGAGGTCTGTCCAGCGGGGATGCTCCCGTGGACGACGGGGGCGACGCGGCCTGGACGGCGCGAGGAGGGGCTCGGAGAGACCCGGGGACCGCGAGGGGCCGCTCCCGGCGCAGTGTGAAGTCCCGCGGTTCTCGCCTGGAGGGGACCGAGGCGCCCACGAGTGCCCCGTGTACCGAGCGAGCGCGGGGCGCAGAACAAGTTACCCAACCGCTTCCTACGGCTATGCAAAGCGAGACTCAACCTCATTCTTCAAGGTGGTCGTGCAAAGAGGGGTGCGGAGTGTCTTTGGGACCCACCTGCCCCTGGCGGGAACTCCCCGGACCCAGCGCTTCTCCGCTCTTCTGTCGGCGGATGCACCTCCGCGGGCTCTGGAGACGTGCTTGTCGAATGGATGATGTCGCAGGACCGGACGGCGACCGCCGGGTCGGTTACTCGAGCTCATTTTCCTCCGCGACCAGCGACGGAACGGACCGATCCAGCCGTGGGTCGCTCAGAAGAAAACTCGACGGTGACAACCGTTGGCTTTTTAAGCGGGTCCTGATGCCCTGGGATCTATCCTATCAAACCCGCCTCAGTTTCCCCGAGGCGGTGCGTCCCAGCCCTAACCCCTCCCTGGGGTGGAGCCTTGGGAGCCTTCCCCCCCCCCCCTCCTCCACCCCCAGCAAAAGTGTGAGACACCCGGCCGGAGCCGGGCTCCACTGGAATAATCCTCCCATCTTCTAATCCGAACGCGCTGTAAAGCTTCGCGCAGGTAGAAGGAAAGGCGGGGCAGGAAGGAATCAAAACCCTTGAAGTTAAAGTTTTAAATTCCTTAACTATGCAGCGGAAATTGAACAAAGGATGCCCCTGACCCCTCCTGCCCAGAACATCCAGCGGGGCTAGCATTCCGGGACGGACTGCACGGTGGGAAAAATGCAGAGTCCAAACCTGCGTCATCCAACCTGATAGCCATTCACCACCACCTGGGGCTTTTGCGTGCTCGCAAGGAAGTGATGTAATCGCCAAGTAAACAGACTTCTGAGATGGTAAGAACAGAAGAACGTGAGATGCCTCACTGATGACATTTCATATTGTTTTGGATGTGCGGCATTCAAGAAAGCATTGGGGCCGAAGCCGGTTTGGCTCAGTGGAAGAGCGTCGGCCTGGGGACTGAAGGGTCCCCGGTTCGATTCCGGTCAAGGGCATGTACATTGGTTGCGGGCACATCCCCAATGGGGGGTGTGCAGGAGGCAGCTGGTCGATGTTTCTCTCTCATCAACGTTTCTAACTCTCTATCCCTCTCAATTCCTCTCTGTGTAAAATCAATAAAATATATTAAAAAGAAAAAGAAGCCGAGACCGGTTTGGCTCAATGGATAGAGCGTCGGCTTGGGGACTGAAGGGACCCGGGTTCGATTCCGGTCAAGGGCATGTACCTTGGTTGCGGGCACATCCCCAGTAGGGGGTGTGCAAGAGGCAGCTGATCGATGACTCTCTCTCATCGATGTTTCTAGCTTTCCATCTCTCTCCCTTCCTCTCTGTACAAAATCAATAAAATATATTTAAAAAAAAAAAAAAAAAGAAAGAAAGAAAGCATTGGGAAAGTTAATTTCACCAGTTCCTTCTTACTTTTTTTTTTCCCCCCCCAAGCGTGGCTACTAGGAAATGTTAAATTGTATGTGCAGCCGTCATTCCTACGGAACAGCACTGCCCAGAGACAGACCTGCTTGCTTCTTACCCTCTTTGTCACCAAGGTGGCCTTGCTTAAGGACCCAAGAGCAAACGTGTCTCTAAAAGTTTGGAACTCTGAGGTTCAGAGAAACCAATAAAATATTAAGGCAGTGGTCTTAAAACTCGCTCATAAAGATAGCAATGGTGATGGGCTTTTTGAATTCAAGAATGGGAACTTCTTGAGGGCAGGGCTGTCCTCTGCCAGGCATCTCAGGGAAAAGGAGAGATGGACATCCATCTGGGGCTGCCCGGCATCACTTTGGTTTCAGCCTTCCATAGACTGATACAACCAGGCAGCACAAATGCACAATATTTGTAACTAGAGGCCCAGTGCACAAAATTCATGCACTGGTGCTGGGGGGAGTTGGTTTCCTCAGCCGGACCTGCACCCTCTCACAATCTGGGATCCCTCTTACAATTTGGGACCACTGGCTCCTAACCACTTGTCTGCCTGCCCGATTGCTCCTAACCACTCACCTGCCTGCCTGATCGTCCCTAATTGCCTCTGCCTTAGCCCCTGCTGCAGCAGCTTCGTCCAAAAGGACGACCAGAATGATATCCAGAAGGTCTTTTAGCTGTCTGGTCTAAATAGCATATAATGATTTTATTATCATAGATGTTGCTTGCTCAAGACGATTAAAAGGAACTATATTTACCAACTTATTCCTCCAGCATATGAAGGGTGTTTATTTTACTACAGCCTCACCAGCATTGAGTATTATGAGTTTTTTTAAAGTGCCGATATGCTATTTATTTAATTGGTATTACCTTGATAATGAAATTGAAAATTGACTTGGCTTTTTATTATCTGTGGGGGAAAGTATCACTAAACAAAATAATGTAAACCAACTATAAAATATAGTAATATTTTTTTCTAAAAAAAAATAAATAAAAGGAACTATATTTGCAGATGGAGTTAAGGTTTTACATAGGAGGTGACTTTAGAAATGTCCTGATAGAAAAGTTAAGACTTACCCTAGATCCATGGTTCTCAACCTTTCTAATGCCGTGACCCTTTAATACAGCTCCTCATGTGGTGGTGGCCCCCAACCCTAAGATTATTTTTGTTGCTGTTATGAATTGTGATGTAAATATCTGTGCTTTCTGATGGTCTTAGGCTCTACAGCAGCGATTCTCAACCTGTGGGTCTCTACAGCAGTGGTTCACCTAAGACCATCGGAAAAGATGACTCATAACAGTAGCACAATTACAGTTATGAAGTAGCAACGAAAATAATCCTATGGTTGGGGTCATCACAGATGAGGAACTGCATTAAAGGGTCTCGACATTAGAAAGGTGGTGAATCATTACCCGAGATGATTTGGCTCAGTGGATAGAATGTTGGCCGGGAAACCAAAGGGCCCAGGTTCAATTACAGTTGTAGGTTCCTCCCCAATCCCAGCCCTGGACAGGACGCGTGCAGAAGGCAACTAATTGATGTGTTTCCTTCACATCCATATTTCTCTCTGTCTTTCCCTCTCTTCCACTCTCCCTAAAAATAAGTGGAAAAATATCCTATGGAGGTCACAGTTCGATTCCTGGCCAGGGCACATGCCCGAATTGCAGGCTTGATCCCCCAATAAGGGGAATGCAAGAGTCAGGAAATCAATGGTTCACTCTCATCATTGATGTTCTATCTCTCCCTCTCCCCTCCTCTCTGAAATCACTAAAAATATATTTTAAAAAACTAAAAACTAAATTTTTTTTTTCAAAAAGATGACAACAGGAGGGGGAAGGAAAAGAAATCTTGATAGAAAACAATATTTGATTAGTAGATGAGTATATCAGATAGAGGGAAAATTAAAAAACAAAAATGTGCTAAGTTGGGATTACTTTCCACTATGAAAAATTGAGTTAAGATCTCTGACCCACTTAGACCTTAAATTCTGGGCCTTTGGACCAAATAATAAACCCATAATCAGAGGTGGGGGTTACAGCTTGTGATTAAGAACCATGAAAGAGAGAAATTAGGTGTTAGAATTATGGGGAGGTCAACTTTAGAAAGGGTGGCCAGCCCTGACCAGTTTGGCTCAGTGGCTGATGGTTCCCAGGTGTGATTCCGGTCAAGGACATATAGCTTAGTTTCGGGCATATCCCTAGTAGGGGGTGTGCAGGAGGCAGCTGATCAATGTTTCTCTCTCATTGATGTTTCTAGCTCTCTATCCTTCTCCCTCCTCTCTGTAAAAAATCAGTAAAGTATATATTTTTTTAAAGAAGAAGAAGGAGGAGGAGGAGGAGGAGGAGAAAGGGTGGCCAGACAAGACCTCTTGGAAGTGCTGACCTTTGAGCTAAGAGGCCTGAAGCCATTCTGAGACATTTGAATTTTATCATCTTTATAGCTGGTGAAGCCACTGAAAGTTTAAACGAGATTACATTTATACTTTTTGAAAAACCACTCAAAAGCATAGGGAATGAATTTGAACTGGGAGAGATTTTCAAGTTGAAGAATCTTGCCAGGGTTCAGGTAAAAGATGATGACGCTTGAAATAATGGGGTAAAGAGGGGACCAGATTGAGAGAGATTTCGGCAGGATTGTTAATCCTGGTAGTGGGAGGTGATGAAATGGAAGAAGACAAAAATGATTACAAAATTCCTAGGGAGGGTGACAGAATGAATGGAGCTACCAGTAAATGAAACAAGAAACAGGAAGATGACTGGTTCTCACAGGCGATTGGAAACATGGGCCAGGAGCTGAGATGAGAAGCCAGGGCTGGAGACAGAGTTTATGAACTCTGAAAGCAACAATGCTGTTTTGGAATCATGGTTTAGTTTGGAAAGGATCTAAACATACATCTAGTCACTGCAACGTAATCTATCTATATAAAAGGCTAATGTGCAAAGTGTCCCCTTGGGAGTTCGACCTGGAGACTGGGAGTTTAATCACTCA